AATTGGTCCAGCGTCGTCCAGGTTAGTGGAGGGTTTGGCCGGCCAGGATGTCCTTGTCCCATGGCACTCTAGCGCCTCCAGTGGCGGCACGTGCACGCTGACACGGTCGCCAGTTGTACGGTGTTTCCTCCGACACATTGGTGCGGTTGACTTCCGGGTTAAGCGAGCAGTGTGTTAAGAAGCAGTGCGGCTTGGCAGGGTTGTGTTTTGGAGGACACATGGCTCTCGACCTTCGCCTCTCCTGAGTCCGTACAGAGTAGCAGCGATGGGACAAGGCTGTAACTACCAATTGGAGATCACTAAAAAGGGATGTAAAGTCCTGCCTCTTCTGGGAACCAGGAAATACTGGCTGTACCAGCCGTCCTGGGCCTCTGACATAGGAACCACTTTGACAATAACGTGGGGGGATCACACAATGAATTATAGTCTGTACCCCAACGTCACTGTTCGTGGGCTGATCAACACAGACAGCGAGTCTCCCATAAAGTGCCATCTGAAGGGGCGGAATGCCATCTTGTGGACTGGGAGAATTTGGTAATTTTTCCATTTCCACCATTCTCGTCAAACCAGTGTCTGACTGTGGGGAAGGGACTCTTTTTATTCAGCTCCCATGTGTATTACACAACACTCTTGACACCCGTAAACACTGTGGGTTAGAAACAATGTGTTTAAGTGCCAACGTTTGCCTGAAGCCCGGTTCACTCTGGGTTCAGGAGCTTCGGCTACCAGTGACGTACCCCGATTGGCTGTGCTACTTGGAGTTACTGTTGGCACAGCAAACATCTGGGGAGGGGCGCAAGGCGAGAACCTAGCTGTGCCACCTCCCCTCTCATCGCGCTAGGTGCATGGGGGCTGCACGCATAAAAAATTGACCCAGGAAAAATGTTTGCAATGAGGTTATCATGCCCACCAGTCGTAGGTACCGATGACACTGCACCTTGTAACCGAGCTAGAAAAAGGGACAGACAGCTCTGAAAAATTGACCCCATCTGTGGTAACAGACAGGGCGATTCGCAATTGAATCTAATTCCCAGGAACGAAATACATTGAGCAGGAGACCAACTTCTTGGAGTTCATATGAACCACAGAGACTGGGTGTGGGATAATAGCATGATTGCCAATCGCCTACCGAGTCCATAACCTGTATCAGTAAGCACCTCATCAGGACCAGTGAGCTACAGGGAGGAATCAGCAATGAATACGAGTAATGTGTCACCAATGAGGGAGGGGTGCCCCCTTGAGGACAGAGAGCGTCTGATACTGTATAGCTCGCATGAAGCCCGGACGTTTTATGGGCACAGGAGCTCCAGCAATGGGATAGCACTAGCCAAGCCCGCTAACAACACAGAGCTAGCCAAATAAAACCACATGATGTCTAGAGAATCTCTCTGACCACAGCATGGTCCATTTAGAATAACCAAGCGACTGAACGCTACGTATGCCTTGCTCAAGGGCACATAGACAAATGTTCCACCTAGTCAGCTCGGGGATTAGAACCAGCAACCTTTTGGTTACTGGCCCAACGCTCTTAGCTTAACCGCTAAGATACCTGCTTTAACGAGTCAGCTAACCTGGCTAGCACGCTATGCAGCGCTGTTTAGCTAGCCTGATCCCGTCCACATAAGACAGGATCATCGACCAAGTCTGGGAAGAGAGGTAAACGGTGCTTGACTGAGGCAGGCACAGGCGGCAGGGAGTGCCCACTGACCAGGCCGCCCTCTCCCTTCAAGTTGCCTCCCTTAGCCAGCGACAGAGCGCACAGCAACAAGGTTGAGCAAGGGCAGACATCACATGCCTCAGCCTAGGCAGACAAGACATTTGATCCGACCAAAGCCACACTTCATCCCTAGGTTCCGTAACTCAGACCCAGCCGAGGTACGGGCACCCGTGAGAGGAAGCCATAAGAAACAGTATTTGTAGGGAACAACCGATGAGCAGCAGGTGCTTCTAATCAGGGTTGCCACTCATCTGCCAATCAGGGATGTGGCTTTTCTGGTAAGCTATCTCATGAATGTATATAATGTATCCAAGTGAGCAGACACCCAAGTCAATTGATTCATGAATTGCCCTTCGTGCCCGCTCCCATACCCTATAATTCTGTATTTCTTTATGACAAACTTGTATACAGGTAGACCAGAAAACCCACATCCCTGATTGGCAACTCTGTTTAAAAGCACCTGCTGCTCATCGGTTGTTACAAATGCTGTTTTGAATTAAAATAATATTGTACCTACACACTGAAGAAGGCTGCAAAGCCAAAACGTCTGCTATCCCTAACGTCTGCTATCCCTAACGTCTGCTATCCCTGATGCAGTGAAAATAATAAAAAAATAAAAAAATGAAGTAAGCTTTAATGCGACATCTTTTGTTTGTCTGAATTTGCGGGTTTTATGCACCAGCCAAGCTTCTGGGAGAGCACGATGGTTCCCTTTTGATTCAAATGAATCAGATAGCCATGCACACACGCACGGCCCACGCACGCACACCCACACCTATGAGAGAGGATGAGGTTGATGCATGTGGGCAGTCCATTAGCGAAGCACTGCTCAGAATAGTCATACTGAAACACACACAATAAGGCAAAAAAACCTTCCCAGAGAAAGAGCAAACAATGTGTGAACACATTAACTCTCATCACCCTCACAAAAGGCACACACACAGAAAAACAGATCCACACACACACATCAAACTCATTGATGTACCAGGTAATATCATTGAAAAGAAAGCAGAAAAGTATACTCACACTAACCACCAGTGTAAGGTCTTCTACTGGCAGCCCTGTGCCCAGACCTGCAGAAGAGGAGAAATACACTTAATGACACCCTTTAACACCCTATGCAGTGATTGGCCACAAGAAGAGACAGGTGACATTTCCACTAAACATGCTGGAATCACTGCTAGCCTGACTTGACTTCTAGAACCTCTAGCTATGTCCTGTTCTGTCAATGTTCTGCAGGAACTAAGAAGTCTATAGCAGCGGAGCTAAAGCAACAGGAAAAATGTGGTAGAGAGTGGTTGTTTTGTAGTACAGGTCTATAGGGCTTCCTTCCAGTCTGGCTGGGGCTGCTGAGAGCTGAGATCGATACTGAGATAAGACTTCCTGTCCTGTCTCTCTATGTATGCATCGATATCAAGCCTGCCATCACTACGGTTACCAAAAACAAGAGAGAGTGGCAGCGATGTGTGTGTGTGTGGGGGGGGGGGGGGCACCACAGCAGCCCACCCAGAAGAGAGGGAATGAGTCCCAACCTAACCTCTCACCTACACCACTGATGTTTTCACAAAGGGCTTTCTGTGTGTGTGTGTGTGTGTGTGTGTGTGTGTGTGTGTGTGTGTGTGTGTGTGTGTGTGTACATGGGTGCGTGTGTGTCCCAAAAGGCCTGACAAATTCAACTAATTACAGGAAGAGAGAAAGAAACAGTTGGAATTGATATCAGGATATTGAAGTAAAAAACCCTGCTTTATCCGAGCAGCTGTATAGCTTTACTTCCAGCCTTTCACAGAGTCACTGTGACACAGAGAGTGAGAGAGAGTAAATATGGCCAGCTTCTAGATGGAGAGGCCAAAGCGTTGACACACACTCACACCATGCCCAACACCTCATCTGTCTAGTGTGTGTATGTGGCTATTATTTTATGCCAAGTCATATTAGGTCATCCAGGACTTGCTCCATGAAGTTGTATTTACTGAAGGAGGCCTCTAGACACACACCAGACAGGACCTTTTCCCAGAAATACACACACACACAAACCCCAGACACACACATTCCACACACTTTTTCATCATCTCGAATGTATATTTCACCAGCCACGTTGGCGGAGCATTTAGAAACAGTATTTTCTATCCAAAGCCCAGATGTAGAAGTTGGTCGAATAGACAAGAAAGGCTCCTAAAGTGTGACTTTGTCCTCGTGTTTCTTGGCCAGTTACATCGTTTTGTTCACATGCTAGGTTGTTTTTCAAATGTTAGTTTGAGTTTGCTGCAACTGTCTGCTGCTAAGAAGAGTCTGAGATTTTTTTCATCACAGATAAGGAAGTGCCCAAGTTACTACGGTAATGGCCCGTCCCTTAAAGGGCCAGCTGAAAATGTTTGTCTCACCTACTGATTGCGCTTGATTGAGCATGGACTTTTATTAATTAACTTTTAGTCATTGTTCTCCTAGATTTATTTGTGTGCTTCTACATTTCTACTAAGGAGCACATCATGTACTCCTTGTAAAAAATGTCAGCGTAGATCCCTGAACTATAATAATAAATAAGCCATATCACTCAGCATTTTGTGGCAGGGCAAGCACTTTGTTGATTCTTGATGTTCTGTTGTAGAACTGTTTATCTGTTTTTATTATTGGATCTAAATGATTTATTTTAACATACTGTACATTGGTTAAAAGATACAGTCACAAAAATGTAATGAAATTAAGCAATATACCCCATTTCATCTTACTAGTAATACATTTCTTGTTTTTGAAATATGGTAAGAAATCTGAGTGTCTGGTAAAAAAAAGATCTACCTGCCACAGTGGCTGGTGGACCAAAAAGTTAATTTCCCACCCTGATGCAGACTCGCTCTCCTTATCCCTGTGCAGTGTGTATCCTGTGTAGCACGCGACTTGCTGACATCTGTGTAGTGAGTGTTTATCGTCTGTTTAGTTCATTTAAACACGCTCATGTAACTGACACGTGTGTGCTGGCTGGGTGGTGTGTGTGGCGTCATGGAGGCACACACACACAGGTCAGGGTGGTGTGTGTGTGTGCGTGCGTGCGTGCGTGTGTGGACTGGGCTCTGCCCTTCTCTCTGTGTGTCTCATGTGCAAACACTATTCATTGCCTGGCCTTCTTGTTCTCTTTGTGGTAACTGAGACTGTCCACTGGTAAATAGTTATGTTTGTGGACCCAAAGAAAGCACCATTAGTGAGATCATGACTCTCTGAACAGAGTTTGCTAGAAATACTCATCACTAAGTTAAAGCCACAATCCTGAGTTTGGTGTTTCACGCTCACCTCGGTCACTGGTATCACTTGTATGGACATCACTGTCCTCCATCTGAACATCAACATCACCTCTCAGTGCTGAGATCTGTGCCAAATACATGAGCTCTGTGACAACATGCTCTTAATAATAATAATAATAATAATAATAATAATAATAATAATAATAATAATAAACTATACTGTAGAACAAACAGCCTATGAATTATAATGTCAATGCATTCATTATATTATAAAGGTTTGATTACAGTAAAACATAGTCAATGAATGAATTACAGTGAGGGAAAAAAGTATTTGATCCCCTGCTGATTTTGTACGTTTGCCCACTGACAAAGACATGATCAGTCTATAATTTTAATGGTATGTTTACTTGAACAGTGAGAGACAGAATGACAACAAAAATATCCAGAAAAACGCATGTCAAAAATGTTATAAATTGATTTGCATTTTAATAAGGGAAATAAGTATTTGACCCCTCTGCAAAACATGAATTAGTACTTGGTTGCAAAACCCTTGTTGGCAATCACAGAGGTCAGACGTTTCTTGTAGTTGGCCACCAGGTTTGCACACATCTCAGGAGGGATTTTGTCCCACTCCTCTTTGCCGATCTTCTCCAAGTCATTAAGGTTTCGAGGCTGACGTTTGGCAACTCGAACCTTCAGCTCTCTCCACAGATTTTCTATGGGATTAAGGTCTGGAGACTGGCTAGGCCACTCCAGGACCTTAATGTGCTTCTTCTTGAGCCACTCCTTTGTTGCCTTGGCCGTGTGTTTTGGGTCATTGTCATGCTGGAATACCCATCCACGACCCATTTTCAATGCCCTGGCTGAGGAAAGGAGGTTCTCACCCAAGATTTGACGGTACATGGCGCTGTCCATCGTCCCTTTGATGCGGTGAAGTTGTCCTGTCCCCTTAGCAGAAAAACACCCCCAAAGCATAATGTTTCCACCTCCATGTTTGACGGTGGGGATGGTGTTCTTGGGGTCATAGGCAGCATTCCTCCTCCTCCAAACACGGTGAGTTGAGTTGATGCCAAAGAGCTCGATTTTGGTCTCATCTGACCACAACACTTTCACCCAGTTCTCCTCTGAATCATTCAGATGTTCATTGGCAAACTTCAGACGGGCCTGTATGTGTGCTTTCTTGAGCAGGGGGACCTTGCGGGCGCTGCAGAATTTCAGTCCTTCACGGCGTAGTGTGTTACCAATTGTTTTCTTGGTGAGTATGGTCCCAGCTGCCTTGAGATCATTGACCAGATCCTCCTGTGTAGTTCTGGGCTGATTCCTCACCGTTCTCATGATCATTGCAACTCCACGAGGTGAGATCTTGCATGGAGCCCCAGGCCGAGGGAGATTGACAGTTCTTTTGTGTTTCTTCCATTTGCAAATAATCGCACCAACTGTTGTCACCTTCTCACCAAGCTGCTTGGCGATGGTCTTGTAGCCCATTCCAGCCTTGTGTAGGTCTACAATCTTGTCCCTGACATCCTTGGAGAGCTCTTTGGTCTTGGCCATGGTGGAGAGTTTGGAATCTGATTGATTGATTGCTTCTGTGGACAGGTGTCTTTTATACAGGTAACAAGCTGAGATTAGTGCTCCTAATCTCAGCTCGTTACCTGTATAAAAGACACCTGGGAGCCAGAAATCTTTCTGATTGAGAGGGGGTCAAATACTTATTTCCCTCATTAAAATGCAAATCAATTTATAACATTTTTGACATGCGTTTTTCTGGATTTTTTTGTTGTTATTCTGTCTCTCACTGTTCAAATAAACCTACCATTAAAATTATAGACTGATCATTTCTTTGTCAGTGGGCAAACGCACAAAATCAGCAGGGGATCAAATACTTTTTTCCCTCACTGTAAGTATAACTTTTGTATGACTGAAGCTTTTAGTGATAAGTCTAATGCTTTAACATTTAATAATTTCTGTCCTCCGAATTCATATTAATTATATAAATAGGCCCGTTTAATTTTGTCTGGCTTGCCGTTCCAAATAAAATGGAATATTTTTTTATCATATAATTTAAAAAACTGTTCGCTAGGCGTAGGCAAGACCATAAGCAAATAGGTAAACTGGGATAATACTAAAGAGTTAATCAGGGTGATTTTTCCACAAATTGACAGGTATTTACCTTTCCATGGTAGCAAGATCTTATCTATTTTTGCTAACTTTCTATTAACATTTATTGGAGTGAGATCAGTTATTTCCTTTGGGATTTGTATTCCGAGTATATCCACATCACCATCAGACCATTTTATTGGTAAACTACATGCATCCAATTTGTAAGTCGCTCTGGATAAGAGCGTCTGCTAAATGACCTAAATGTAATGTAAATGTAATGTAAAAATTGTATTTTTTAGTGATCCAATACGTAATATAGTACATTTGTCATAATTTGGTTGTAATCCAGAGAGGTTAGAAAATGTATCTAGATCCTCTATGAGGCTGTGGAGGGATTCTAGTTGTGGATTTAAAAGAAAACATGAATCATCAACGTACAATGACACCTTTGTTTTTAAGCCCTGGATTTCTAATCCCTTGATATTATTGTTGTATCTGATTTTAATAGCTAACATCTCGATGGCCATAATAAATAGATATGCCGATAGTGGACAACCTTATTTCACTCCTCTTGACAGTTTAAAACTTTTGTAGAAATAGCCATTATTTACTATTTTACACCTAGGGTTACTATACATGATTTTGACCCATTTTATAAGAGATTCTCCAAAATTGAAATGCTCCAGGCATTTATATATAAACCCCAGTCGTACTTTATCAAATGCCTTTTCGAAGTCTGCTATGAATAGCAGGCCTGGTTTCCCAGATTTTCCATAGTGTTCTATTGTTTCCAGTACTTGCCTTATATTATCTCCAATGTATCTTCCATGTACAAAACCTGTCTGATTATAATGAATAATGTCCGACAATACCTTTTTAATTCTATGCGCTATACATTTTGCTAGAATTTTTGCATCACAACACTGAAGTGTAAGGAGCCTCCAATTTTTTTAATGGACTGGATCTTTATATTTTCCACTTGTATCCTGTTTCAGTAATAATGAAATCAGACCTTCTTCTTGAGTGTCTGATAATCTACCATTTACATAGGAGTGGTTAAAACATGCTAATAACGGTCCTCTTAGTATATAAAAAAAGGTTTGGTATACCTCGACTGGTATGCCATCCAACCCTGGAGTTTTCCCGGACTTAATGTTTTTAATTGCATCCAGAAGTTCCTCCTCTGTAATTTCACCTTCACATGAGTCTTTCTGTATGGCTGTTAATTTTACATTATCAATAGAAAAAAAATCTCTACAATTACCTTCAGTTAGAGGAGATGGAGGCGACTGAAACGAACACATATGCTTATAGTACTTTCTTTCCTCCTTCAAAATATAATGGGTGAATTGTAACCAGTTTCATTAAATTCTTTTTGGTAGCATTCCTATGTTGAAGATGAGTACTGAATTGCATGGCCTCTAAAGGCACATTTAAAGGTGTCCCATACAATAAGGGGATTTGCTGTACCTATGTTATGTAGGAAAAAAACAGTTATAAATTATTTTGTCCTAGTTAAAAATACAATATCCATCCAATAGGCTTTGATTAAATTTCCAATATCCTCGCCCACGTGGAAATTCAGTAAGGGTAATGTAAATGCCAATTATATGATGGTCCGACTGCATTCTGTCCCCTATCAACACTTTTTAGACTTTTGGTGCCAACGAGAATGACATAAGAAAGAAGTCAAGACGACTAGCTTGATTGAGTCGCCGCCATGTATATCTCACTAGATCAGGATATTTAAGCCTCCATATATCTACTAGTTCTAATGTATCCATGACATTCACGATTTCCTTAAGAGCATGAGGGTGATTGTTTGTGGTGTGATTTCCTTTACGGTCCATTGAGCTATTTAAAACAGTATTATAATCCCCCACCATAATAATATTGTCTTGAAATGCTTGCAGGGTTGATAATGTAATATACACTGCTCAAAAAAATAAAGGGAACACTTAAACAACACATCCTAGATCTGAATGAATGAAATAATCTTATTAAATACTTTTTTCTTTACATAGTTGAATGTGCTGACAACAAAATCACACAAAAATGATCAATGGAAATCAAATTTATCAACCCATGGAGGTCTGGATTTGGAGTCACCCTCAAAATTAAAGTGGAAAACCACACTACAGGCTGATCCAACTTTGATGTAATGTCCTTTAAAACAAGTCAAAATGAGGCTCAGTAGTGCGTGTGGCCTCCATGTGCCTGTATGACCTCCCTACAACGCCTGGGCATGCTCCTGATGAGGTGGCGGATGGTCTCCTGAGGGATCTCCTCCCAGACCTGGACTAAAGCATCCGCCAACTCCTGGACAGTCTGTGGTGCAACGTGGCGTTGGTGGATGGAGCGAGACATGATGTCCCAGATGTGCTCAATTGGATTCAGGTCTGGGGAACGGGCGGGCCAGTCCATAGCATCAATGCCTTCCTCTTGCAGGAACTGATGACACACTCCAGCCACATGAGGTCTAGCATTGTCTTGCATTAGGAGGAACCCAGGGCCAACCACACCAGCATATGGTCTCACAAGGGGTCTGAGGATCTCATCTCGGTACCTAATGGCAGTCAGGCTACCTCTGGCGAGCACATGGAGGGCTGTGCGGCCCCCCAAAGAAATGCCACCCCACACCATGACTGACCCACCGACAAACCGGTCATGCTGGAGGATGTTGCAGGCAGCAGAACATTCTCCATGGCGGCTCCAGACTCTGTCACGTCTGTCACATGTGCTCAGTGTGAACCTGCTTTCATCTGTGAAGAGCACAGGGCGCCAGTGGCGAATTTGCCAATCTTGGTGTTCTCTGGCAAATGCCAAACGTCCTGCATGGTGTTGGGCTGTAAGCACAACCCCCACCTGTGGACGTCGGGCCCTCATACCACCCTCATGGAGTCTGTTTCTGACCGTTTGAGCAGACACATGCACATTTGTGGCCTGCTGGAGGTCATTTTGCAGGGCTCTGGCAGTGCTCCTCCTGCTCCTCCTTGAACAAAGGCGGAGGTAGCGGTCCTGCTGCTGGGTTGTTGCCCTCCTACGGCCTCCTCCACGTCTCCTGATGTACTGGCCTGTCTCCTGGTAGCGCCTCCATGCTCTGGACACTACGCTGACAGACACAGCAAACCTTCTTGCCACAGCTCGCATTGATGTGCCATCCTGGATGAGCTGCACTACCTGAGCCACTTGTGTGGGTTGTAGACTCCGTCTCACGCTACCACTAGAGTGAAAGCACCGCCAGCATTCAAAAGTGACCAAAACATCAGCCAGGAAGCATAGGAACTGAGAAGTGGTCTGTGGTCACCACCTGCAGAACCACTTCTTTATTGGGGGTGTCTTGCTAATTGCCTATAATTTCCACCTGTTGTCTATTCCATTTGCACAACAGCATGTGAAATTTATTGTCAATCAGTGTTGCTTCCTAAGTGGACAGTTTGATTTCACAGAAGTGTGATTGACTTGGAGTTACATTGTGTTGTTTAAGTGTTCCCTTTATTTTTTTGAGCAGTGTATAGATTGTCAAAGAAGTGTGGATCGTCATTATTTGGTCCGTAAAGGTTAATGAGCCATATATGTTTATGGTCCAATAACATATTTAAAATAATCCATCTACCTTGCATATCTATTTGGACAATTTGCACATTCTGATCTAAATTACTTTTAATTAATATCATCACCCCTTTTGAGTTTCTTTGCCCATGGGAGAAGTATATTTTGCCCCCCCATTCCTTTTTCCACGCAACTTCATCTAGAATTGTTGAATGGGTTTCCTGTAAACAATAGATATTATATTCCTTCTCTTTGAGCCATGTAAATATTGTTCTTCTTTTGTTATTATCAGCTAAGCCATTACAATTATAACTGGCTATACTTATTTCACCATACACTAATGAGATACAAGTTTCAAGTCTATTTATCATTATATATGTTTGTACATTTACCAATAAAAAATACCGTAATGATTGAGTGTCCATATACAGTGAGGGAAAAAAGTATTTGATCCCCTGCTGATTTTGTACGTTTGATCAGTCTATAATTTTAATGGTAGGTTTATTTGAACAGTGAGAGACAGAATAACAACAACAAAATCCAGAAGAACGCATGTCAAAAATGTTATAAATTGATTTGCATTTTAATGAGGGAAATAAGTATTTGACCCCCTCTCAATCAGAAAGATTTCTGGCTCCCAGGAGTCTTTTATACAGGTAACGAGCTGAGATTAGGAGCACATTCTTAAAGGGAGTGCTCCTAATCTCAGCTTGTTACCTGTATAAAAGACACCTGTCCACAGAAGCAATCAATCAATCAGATTCCAAACTCTCCACCATGGCCAAGACCAAAGAGCTCTCCAAGGATGTCAAGGACAAGATTGTAGACCTACACAAGGCTGGAATGGGCTACAAGACCATCGCCAAGCAGCTTGGTGAGAAGGTGACAACAGTTGGTGCGATTATTCGCAAATGGAAGAAACACAAAATAACTGTCAATCTCCCTCAGCCTGGGGCTCCATGCAAGATCTTACCTCGTGGAGTTGCAGTGATCATGAGAACGGTGAGGAATCAGCCCAAAACTACACAGGAGGATCTTGTCAATGATCTCAAGGCAGCTGGGACCATAGTCACCAAGAAAACAATTGGTAACACACTACGCCGTGAAGGACTGAAATCATGCAGCGTCCGCAAGGTCCCCCTGCTCAAGAAAGCACATATACAGGCCCGTCTGAAGTTTGCCAATGAACATCTGAATGATTCAGAGGAGAACTGGGTGAAAGTGTTGTGGTCAGATGAGACCAAAATCGAGCTCTTTGGCATCAACTCAACTCGCCGTGTTTGGAGGAGGAGGAATGCTGCCTATGACCCCAAGAACACCATCCCCACCGTCATACATGGAGGTGGAAACATTATGCTTTGGGGGTGTTTTTCTGCTAAGGGGATGGGACAACTTCACCGCATCAAAGGGACGATGGACGGGGCCATGTACCGTCAAATCTTGGGTGAGAACCTCCTTCTCTCAGCCAGGGCATTGAAAATGGGTCATGGATGGGTATTCCAGCATGACAATGACCCAAAACACACGGCCAAGGCAACAAAGGAGTGGCTCAAAAAGAAGCACATTAAGGTCCTGGAGTGGCCTAGCCAGTCTCCAGACCTTAATCCTATAGAAAATCTGTGGAGGGAGCTGAAGGTTCGAGTTGCCAAATGTCAGGCTTGAAACCTTAATGACTTGGAGAAGATCTGCAAAGAGGAGTGGGATAAAATCCCTCCTGAGATGTGTGCAAACCTGGAGGCCAACTACAAGAACCGTCTGACCTCTGTGATTGCCAACAAGGGCTTTGCCACCAAGTACTAAGTCATGTTTTGCAGAGGGGTCAAATACTTATTTCCCTCATTAAAATGCAAATCAATTTATAACATTTTTGACATGCGTCTTTCTGGATTTTTTTGTTGTTATTCTGTCTCTCACTGTTCAAATAAACCTACCATTAAAATTATAGACTGATCATTTCTTTGTCAGTGGGCAAACGTACAAAATCAGCAGGGGATCAAATACTTTTTTCCCTCACTGTAGCTGTACCATGATATTTGCATTGCTACTAAGTAACCCTCCAATTGTTCTCCACTAATTCCCCCACTAAAGCCCCTCCCCATCCCAAGTTGAGCCGTCAACCCAGTGATCGGCATCCCACCCCCGTCCCTCCGGATCCCTAGGGCCCCGAGAGGCCAGGACCCATCCATCGAAAACAGCACACAAAACAGAAGCAGGTTAACCGCCAAAAGCATTTCCACTGCTGTCACCTCAATATATATATATATATATAACTATTTAAAAATATATATCTATTGAAATATCTTGCATATCTTATTTTCCATCATTATCAATTAATATGCATAATAATTTCGGCAGTTTATGCATAGGATGTTAACATATAACCCGGATTGCCATTGTATTACATTTCATTTTTGACAAGCAATTATTATTTTAGCAAACAATTATTGTGGTTCATCCTATATTCTCCCTAACATCCTTACCCCCTTGCAACAGATGTGGGATAAACACACACGCACATACTCTTACACTCCACAATCAACCATAAAATCAGATGCTCAACGGTTGTTACATCCCAGAGCTCAACTCAAGAAAGGAACTGATTTACAAATGCATATTCAGTTACAGCTGATTGAGAAAGCATGCAAGATTGAGCAGAAATTGACAACAATGTGAGATTTGATTAATCTATTTAATCTATGTCAAGTCCTAGGTGATGGAGATCAGATCCACCCTCTTCACCTGAGACACAAACACTCTGGTCCCCGTTGTAACCATTTTTCCCAAGCATCTCCGTGCAGTCAGACCTTTGAGGGGTTCTGGTTTTGTAGGACCAACCCTGCCAGGCAGGCTCAGATTCTTGAGGGGGTGGTGCTGCTCAAGTAGGTCTCTGACCGCATTTATTTTCCTGTTTTGGCTGCATATAGGCAACTCACAGCAGGTCCATAAAACAGATGGGGACTTCTCTTTGGTGTATGGGTCGCTCAGGTGGGTGTCTAGGATATAGGATTGGGGATCGTTCCATCATGATAGGACAATAAAAAATATATTAGATGTATACTATACTTTAAAATGTATATCTTTCATCTGCACAAAATTGAAAGCTCCCTCTCACAACCCCTGCTCACAGACACATGTTGGTTCTGGGATATGCAACCATTTCCTTTCTCACTTACTTAACGCCACACTTATTCAAACACCAAAACGCACACCACACCTTCCATCACAATTCATCCACACATATCCCCACACTGTGCCTTCTATGTCTTCTGTTTGCTATATTTTATCTCCACTATGTTGATTGAGTACTTGTGTTCTAATTTAGTTGTATTTGAAGATTTATTATTTAGCTTGTTATCTTTTCTTGTAATACTGTCTTATCCCTTTATAAATTACTATACCTACTATAAATATGTTTTATTATTACATTCCCTACCATGACTAGTATTGGGTGTTCCATTATTCGACTCCTCTATTAGAACTTTCAGAATAGCCATGGAGTGGTCTTTGTGTCGTGGAACATTTGGTTGTCAATATACAGTTTATCAACAACGAGAGCAACACGCTTCCCTTTTAATCTGTTTTCCTTGAAGATTGGGTACAGAACTTTGCGCCGTTCTGCAATCTCCCTCGGGAACTGATCATTCATGCCTATTTTCGTGCCAGCGAGTCTTTTTCCTAGGCTTTTAACCATTACTTTGTCCTTAAAAAAGGCAAATTTGGCAACGATTGGACGCTCATATCTCTGCCCTCTGTGTCCGAAACGGTGTACACATTCGAGTTGGATTTTATCGACAGCCTCGAGTGGAATCTGCAGCGCTGTAAGAAAGAAGTCCCTCACTATTCTTTCTGTAATCTCTCCCTCCTTTTCCTGGATACCCGTAAGCATCTTAGGGTAGGTAGGAGCTAGGATCTGTCCATATAATCTTATTCATTATGATCTAAAAGGCAAAACTGATCCTAGATCAGCACTCCTACTCTGAGACGCTTTCTGGATACGGGCCCTGATCTCACCTGTCTGAGGATATTGTGGTCTGTCAGTTTCTCTCGGAGAACCAGGATGTTGTCCAGAACACTGCTCTCAGGGCCCCCCAGGAAGGTGAGGGTGAGGGAGCCAGACCCAGGACATACCCTTAGCACACAAGTCCTATCTGCCCACACACAGCACACCCCGACAGGGGGAGACCTCTGTGGGATAGGGGGGCTGTATGGAAGTGAAGTAGGAAGGTATGTGTTAGTTATCTGATTGGGTTGGCCATTTTCAGTCTTATGACAATCATCACTCACATGAATCATTGCTCTTGGGTCGTTATGGTAAAATAGACTGTGTTCTCAATTACTTACCTGGTAAAATAAAGACAATAAATAAACAAACATGATGATGATTTAATCTTTTGTGATGAAAAGAGGCGGAGACTCACGTGGCAAGCGCCATAAAGAGGATGTGGTCTCCTCTGTTCTGAGCCAGCTGGAGGGGTGTGTTCCCCTCCTCATTTGACAGGGTCAGTGCCCTCTGACCCCTCGGCTGGCCAATCAGGAAGTGGGAGAGACGGAGCAGACCAAGACGCACGGAGAGGTGGAGGAGAGTGTCCCTGGGCTGGTGTTCTGCAGGCAGAGAGAGAGCGAGAGAGCGAGAGATTATTTATTTTCCCTTGTTATTACACTGTACATAGCTAATAATATAACATTTGAAATGCCTTTATACCTTTTAAACTTTTGTGAGTGTAATGTTTACTGTTAATTTCAGATGATTTCTTTCACGTTTATTGTTTTAATATTTGCTTTGCCAATAAAGCCCCTTTTAATTGAATTGATAAGGTAAGAGTGGGTAAAATAACATGGTAGCCAATGTTAATAACATTGCAGACAGAGACAACACAGTGTTCCATAAAATAGATGAATACAGACAGTATTTAGGCCAGAGGTGACCAGCCCTCCATATAAGAACATAGTGGCCTCTTATATCTCCACTATAGATCACTCAACCTGTTATCCTTCAAACGATATCTTCACCGTCCACACTTATTGTATATACATGACATACTCCACATCCACTCTCTAGACCTAAACACACTTATCCTGGCTCCAGGTCAGGTGTGAATGCCGAAATGAACATAAGCGAATACACTCTGACTGCACACACACAGTACATGGTATGCAGCTAGCACACATAGATGGTATGCACTGTAGCTAGAACACATACACTACCGTTCAAAAGTTTGGGGTCACCAGTCTCAACGTCAACAGTGAAGAGGCGACTCCGGGATGCTGACCTTCTAGGCAGAGTTGCAAAGAAAAAGCCATATCTCAGACTGGCCAATAAAATAAAAAGATTAAGATGTGCAGTCTGAGATATGGCTTTTTCTTTGCAACTCTGCCTAGAAGGTCAGCATCCCAAAGTCGCCTCTTCACTGTTGACGTTGAGACGGGTAGTATTTAATGAAGCTGCCAGTTGAGGACCTGTGAGGCGCCTGTTTCTCAAACTAGACACTCTAATGTATTTGTCCTCTTGCTCAGTTATGCACCGGGGCCTCCCACTCCTCTTTCTATTCTGGTTAGAGCCAGTTTGTGCTGTTCTGTGGAGGGAGTAGTACACAGCGTTGTACGAGATCTTCAGTTTATTGGCAATTTCTCGCATGCAATAGTCTGTATTTCTCAGAACAAGAATAGACTGACGAGTTTCAGAAGACAGTTCTTTGTTTCTGGCCATTTTGAGCCTGTAATCGAACCCAGAATTGCTGATGCTCCAGATACTCAACTAGTCTCAAGAAGGCCAGTTTTATTGCTTCTTTAATCAGCACAACAGTTTTCAGCTTTGCTAACATAATTGCAAAAGTGTTTTCTAATGATCAATTAGCCTTTTAAAATGATAAACTTGGATTAGCAAATACAACGTGCCATTGGAACACAGGACTGATGGTTGCTGATAATGGGCCTCTGTACGCCTATGTAGATATTCCATTAGAAATCAGCCGTTTCCAGCTACAATAGCCATTTACAACATTAACAACGTCTACACTGTATTTCTGATCAATTTGATGTTATTTTAATGGACAAAAAAATTGCTTTTCTTTCGAAAACAATGACATTTCTAAGTGACCCCAAACTTTTGAACGGTAGTGTACATTTGGTATTTGGTCTTTTATTTATTGCAAAAAGCAGCAGCTACTCTTCCTGGGGTCCACACAAAACATGAAACATGACATTATACAGAACAGTAATAGACAAGAACAGCTGAAGGACAGAACTACATGGTACTGTATGTAAAATAAATGTATGCAGGCCTACTGTAGCTAACACACCTTCCAGATGGGTGTCATATTGTGTGTCATGCTGTGTCACGTCTATCTAGACTATAAACTGTATGGAGAATGCATACCAACAAAGCAGGTCAGGTATGTCATACTGGGGTTAGTTCTTATACTGGCTTGTATCTTAGAGCTGTGGCGTTGAGAAAAAATTAAGTACCGCGTTAGCTACAAGTCCTTGGGGAAATTCACCCGTTTGATTCAGGCAGCATACCAAGTGGCACCCTGTTCCCTATATAGTGCACTATTAATGACCAGAAATCGGGTGTCATTTGGGACGCAACCTCAGTAACTCTTCCTCATAATAAAGACATGAGACAGTGAGAGTGACGGGGCTTCCCACCCTGATAATGACATTGACAGAAGCCAGCAACAGAGCATCAGAAGAGCACGCACACACACACACACACACACGCGCGCACACACACACACACACACACACACACACACACACACACACACACACACACACACACACACACACACACACACACACACACACACACACACACACACACACACACACACACACACACACACACACACACACACACACACACACACACACACACACACACACACACACACACACACACACACACACACACACACACACACACACACACACACACACACACACACACACACACACACACACACACACACACACACACACACACACACACACACACACACACACACACACACACAGTAACCCTCTAAACCTGCTCAGCATGTTTTAATAAAGCCAGTGTGTTGGAGGGACCAGGTGGCTGTGGCCCGGGCAGGGCACACACACATCCTTGTTGTGTTTGATTACACACACTGAATGACTTCTTTTTATTTTTTTTAAAGGAGGGGAATAGTCAGTCAATGGACGTTCTATTCTTTCCTGTAAGACTAAGAAAGGAGGGTATAGTTGCTATGGAGATCGTTGTCCTAAACTTGAACTTTCTCTCCATTTCTTTCTCACACTGTGTTCGTCCCCACAGTTACCCATACTGTACCACAAACGCTTGACTATGTACCACATAACCATGACCCAATTACTGGACCAGGAACTTTAGATGAGGGAAAAATACTGTACCTTCCATGTCAAAGTTCAGTCAACTAAACTGAAAAATGTCCAGGGGCTCTATTTTAACAAACCTAACACCAATGGTAAATCTTAGCGCTAGAGGTAGCGCTTTAGGTTCGGGGGTGTGCCAGAAATCGTTTTGCTATTTTCACAACTGGAATTATGGCCGCAGTAGCTGGCGGTAGTGCAAAAAGGCAGGGTTTTAATGTATAAACAAGGTGTAGGTGTGTCGAAGCTTGACCCCTCATTGGCCAATCAGAAAGTGCTCCATGGCTAAATATGTGGTTGCTTAAAGCTGTGTATTTACAGTCTTTTATGTATTGCGTTGTCATCAACTCCAGTTCGAATGTTAATCCGTTATAGCCTAGTTTGTTAAATAGCCTACAGAAACAAAATGTATGTAGGCCTATCCCATCTTTGCTAAATAGGTTGAACATGTTTGCAGTCCACATTGTAAGAATCCTAATTGCATGGCTTTCAATATGGAAATATATTGTTAAAAATAACATTTGCACTGATATAAGAGCTACTGTACATTCCATTATGTCTGCCATGTCTGAGCCATGGACGTGCCAAACGTCAATAAGCAAGATTAAATTCACTATTCATAAGGCTTAAAAAGAGAGTGAATAATTTGAATCAGATTCTAATCAAAATGATGGGAGCTGGCTAAAATATTGATAAAAAGAATGTCAGTTCACTGTTTTGCTTTGAATAAAGATTTGATGGTTAATATTTATTTCAAAGAAGTCGAACGAGCCAAACCCTTTATTGATAGGCTGCTATTTGGCGAATGCATTGGGCAGGACAAAAAAAACAGCCTTCATTGAGGGGAGGCTATGCTTGTTTCTTTGTCAAACGAAATGAAAAACAAGCTGTTTATTAAAATAACAGCAATATTTGTAAATAGGATGGGGTCAGATGCATGATATCATAAATCACATTTGTGTCGCACTGTGTGCACACGAAGGCCTACATGTCTTTACGCATAACATTTGCACGTCTATACAAAATACTAGGCTCCTGTCAATTGTATCGTCAATTGTATCGTTGAGGCACATTCTCAAAAAAATCAGCTGTTGATATGGCATTATAGGAGGACTGAATAGTTTGGAAAAGTGTGTCTTTGGTAATCGGACAAGGGGCGCTCTTTGAAAATGGGGATGGATAGCCTAAGTGAAATGTGAAATGAAGTGAATTGTGAATCATGAAAAAGCATGAGGGCAAAAACCTCTCAGTAGACCATTTAAAACCCCTTTATTCATAGGCTACTTGGCTAATGCACAGCCAGGATACAAATATGCACCTATGTTTCACTACTAAACCAGCCTTGATTAAGGGGAGGGTAGGCTATGCTTGTTTTTAATCAAATTAAACAAAATAAAACCAATCTTATTTTTTTATGTTTCTAAATAGGAGATTCACCGGCACATCTCTCGTTCCATGGGCACTGTGTGTCACGGCTGAATAGGCTGCGCCATTATCAACTGCGTTACCATTAAGACCTGCTTTTAGTAAGTCTTAAAACTTCCCATTACCGCTGCATGAAATTGTCAGTTTTGCGCTTGTTTTTAAGCACACCTCAAATATTGCCACTCCTCCTATCTCAGCGCAAGCAAGCTGATGTTAGTCAGGTAAATTGCCGAACCTGACGTAAGGGCTGGAAAATGCCAGTGCACCAGTTTTTACATGACAAAATTGCAAACTGACACCTCCTTAGCGCCAGCAAAAATTGAGCCCCAGATGTATGTCTCATTTGCAAAAGCTTTTCGAATTCTACTTATAGAGAGAGAGAAATTGAGAGAGAGACAGAGAGACAGAGAGAGAGAGAGACAGAGAGAAAGAGAAAGAGAGAGAATGTGAAAGGGAGAAAGAGAGAGAAAGACGGAGCGTACTGAGATTCCTGTCCAGTAATGGGGACTGACACTCAGGCACACAGACAATACGTGACCTTTCCGATGAGACGGGCAAGCATTGAAGAGCACTATTTACCAAACACAATCCCCCCTCTTACGTAAGAAGCTGTGGGTGAACTTGGTCTGTGGTTAGAGAGTGGAGAGCTTATCTCTATCCCCTCCTTCACGCTTCTCTTCTCAGTATGACATACACAGTCCAAACTAATGTTATCATGATCCTTGTGCTTTCACTAGCTTGATAAAGTTAAATGGACTTGATCATGAGTATTGTGCGCATGTAGGCTTCGTTTGAATCTGGCCATAGTGGTGGCAGTCTGTCTCTGCCAGCTGGTTGTTCGGTTGACCTGTTTGGCAAGGTCTCCATGTGGCATTGTTGTTGTGTTGCATGCAGAAACAGGCTGGCACCAGAGATGGTGTTTGTCTATAGTATTTCCTTCTTTACTTGTAGAGACAATGTAACACCATATAAAACTCCCATGTGACAATAGCATAAGCTCATTGAAAGAGAGTATGTGTAGTCTGCAGTATTGCCCTTTACCATGGTCCCATGGTTCCAGTGATGGGGCAGGGCACCAGCTACAGTAAGTACAAGTTGAGTTGAGTGAGTGTTGTTCTCTCTCTCTCTCTGTGTGTGTGTGTGTGTGTGTGTGTGTGAATACATTACATGTCACTATCTGAAATGTTATGACTGAAAAGTCATAACAGTGGTCTAAGGCGCTGCATCGCAGTGCTAGCTGTGCCACTAGAGATCCTGGTTCGAATCCAGGCACTGTCGTAGCCGGCCGCGACCGGGAGAACCATGGGGCGGCGCATAATTGGCCCAGCGTCGTCCAGGGTAGGGAAGGGAATGGCCGGCAGGGATGTAGCTCAGTTGGTAGAGCATGGCGTTTGCAACGGCAGGGTTGTGGGTTCAATTCCCACGGGGGGCCAGTATGAAAAAAAAAAAGCATCTGCTAAATGACTAAAAATAAATAAAAAATAAAAACATAGTTATGTTATTCATCTGAATACGTCTGTGTAGCCTATACAGAAGCTATTATGAATCATTGTTATATTTCGAGAAAATAACCCATTCATTATTTCTCTTTCTGAACAGGGATAACTGTCTTGGGGCATATCTTCCTTACCTGTTACTGATTGTACTCTATATGTCATAGGCCTATTGGCTAAGTGGATAACGTTGTATTTTATTGTACTGTATAGGATAGCTAGTTACCTTCTCTAGGTTGGCTGGCCTTGCCGCTCCACTCCGGAGGGTAGTCCAGGTTGGCCATGGCCTGGGTTATCCTCTCATCCATCTCCCTGAGACGACACACCACCTCTGGATCAGGTCTGGGTCTCCCAAACCCACACCCCTCCTCCTGGTCTGTCTTCTCCAGATAGTGCTCCTCTCCTGGGCCAGAACTCCTGTCACCATCCCTGTTCCCCTCCCCTGGAGCTCCTGAAACCCTCCTCAGGACCTCCAGGTGGCTCTGGGGACTCAGACAGTCGCTATTGGCTAGCAGGTACTCGGCCACTTCCTGTGGCGAATCACAGACGTACTTTAGGGAGGCCCTGCCTCCACAGGGCTTGGATCTGCCCTCTGTGTGGCAATACGCTGTGACAGAGACGGTCTCCTGGAGGTCATGACCTGTGGAGGAGAGGAGACGAACAGATGACTGATGATCGAAAAAGACAACAATACGGTCTGAGAGTCCTGCTGACACTAATCCTAATATGGACACTAAGACAATAATAGTTTTCTGCTCCCAAACATGATTTCTATTGAAGCTTGTGATACAGCAACAATGTTCGGACCAACACGGTCTTCATTAAGTTAAGCAAACTACTGCTATGAATACATCTACTGAGTTTATTAGAATCCGTGTTATTTTGACCTAAAAATTGAATAAAAGGGGAACTAATAATAACTGGAAGCAATGACCCTGTATCTAACTAAGGGTTCTGCTCTAACCTCAGTCAGTAGCCCTGTGTGAGACTGTCAGACTGATCTGGGATCAATGGACACTAGGAATTGTGGGACTCACCTGGAGCAGTGAAGCACAGAGACTTTCCATCCTCTGTTCTCTTCCCTACAGTAACATGGGCTAGTCTGGAACCTTCTAAAACCACATAGAACTCTGTCTGTTCTGGTTCTAGATCTGGAACCTGCAGAACAGCACAGACTTCCACCTGGCCCTGAGAAGAGAGAGCGACAGAGAGAGAGAGAGAGAGAGAGAGAGAGAGAGAGACAGAGACAGAGACAGAGAGAGTGAGATAGCGAGAGAGAGAGAGAGAGAGAGAGAGAGAAAGAGAGAGAGAGAAAGTGAGAGAGAGAGAGAGAGAAAGTGTGAGAGAGAGAAAGTGTGAGAGAGAGAAAGTGTGAGAGAGAGAAAGTGTGAGAGAGAGAGAGAGAGAGAGAGAGAGAGAGAGAGAAAGACAAAGACAAAGAGAGGGGGGGAACAGGGTTTAACTATGTGAAATCATGATATAGTTTTATTTGGTTTTCTATCTAGAGAGAAGAACAGAAAATGAGAAGATTCCTGTGACTGTTCATCAAGGCCACCATTCATAACGTTACATTATGACTATAACCACTGTTCTCTGAAGGAGGGAAACAAGGTACAACACAACTATGGGGAGTCGTACTCTCGCGACTTCAATTGACAAGGCCAATGAAATCTCTGCCTCGCTGAAAGCTCCGCCTTCCACAGGTGATAACCCTGAGGCTCGGATTCATTACTTCAATTCAGTACCACTCTTCAGCGAGCCCAGAACTGGTGTTGTACCTCATTTCCCTCATTCAGGGAAAAGTTGTTATAATCATAAAGTTACGTTCCCTTTCAGTCAGTACTCCCAGTACAACACAACTATGGGGAAATGGAGTCCTGCCCCAATGGATACCAAATGAAATGGCCCATAGCAGACCTCCCAGACATCAACCACGCAACATGCGGTAGTCTGGGTCTGCGCACCCTGCGCGCTGCCTATTGACCCTCTCCTGTCCCAGCTGTAAGCACACTGTGGGCTACAATGGGAGCATTGACATCCAAGCAATAAAACCTCACAAAAATGTGTGGTGATGCCCATCACGTCGCAGCATAAACAGTCAACCCTTTAAATAGCGCCCAAGACGCTGCCAGACCCCTGGTGGAGTGGGCGCGTATGCCACTAGGTAACCTTTGTCCCTTGCTGTTATATGCCACCATAGAGTCTCCAGGGGCAAACTGAGTACAGAAAGGGTGTACGGATAATGTGTGGAGGTCCCAAACACGTTTAACCGAGGCAAAATCCATGAGCAGGGTGGTCTTGTAGGAGAGGATCTTCAGATCCACTGAGTCCCGAGGCTCAAAGGGGGCCGCACACAGTGCCTCCAAAACCAGAGCCAAAACCCATGTGGGTGTAATAGATTTAGAGAACAGTCTGAGACTGCGCACACCTTTCAGGAACAGCACAACCAGGGGGTGGGCCCCCGGTGTTGCTCAGTCAATTACCACATGACGCGCTGAGATAGCGGCCATGTAAATGTTTTAAGTGGAGAATGCCCGACCCTGCTCGAAAAGCTCCTGTAGGACCATAAGGATGTCCCTCACAGAGCACTAAAAAGGAATAAGTCCTTTATCTTGGTACCAGAGCTCAAACGCCTGCCACTTTTACACATACAGTTGTGGACTGAATGGTAGCAATAACATTCAGAGGTAAACCTCTAGCAATCAGATGGCCTCTCTCAGGGGCCAGGCCCATAGAACAAAGTCTCTGGCTTTGCGTGCCAAACCTGCCTGTGTGCCTGGGACAACAGGTCCCTGCGCAACGGGAGTTGCCACGGGACCCCGCCTAACAGGCAAATGATCTCTGCCAACCAAGGCCGCCCGGCTCCATGGGAGGAAATCCATAAAGGAGGGTCCGAGCCCACTGGTGTGCCAGTGCGTCCGTTCCCAACGGAGCGCTTGAGTCCCTCATTGAGAAAAACAAATGACACTGCATGTTTTCTCGCGATACGTAAAGGTCTACGTTGGCCCTGCCGAACCTCTCCCATATCTGGGTAACCACCCAGGTGTGTAGCCACCCAGGGCCACCCTGGATAGCAGATCCGGACCCGAGCAAGAGCAAGTGTGCCCCGCTCCACAGCAACAGGGAGCGTACCAAAGTGAGGACAGGGAGAGACCGGGTCCCCCCCTGCCAGTTGATGTAAGCCACTGTCGTCATGTTGTTCGATCTGACCAGCACATGCCAGCCCGATAACGAGGGAGGAGATGCCTGAGCGCCAAATACACTGTCAGAAGCTCCAGGTAATTGATATGCCAGGCAATCTGTGCCACAGTCCACACCCCCAGAATCGAGTAGCCATTGCACAGCGCGCCCCACCCTTGGGGGGGGGCGGGGGGGGGTCTGTCGTGACCACCTTGTGGAATAACACCTGGCCCATGAGAACCGCTTGCGACAGTACATGGTGGTCTCCCCACTGGGCCAGTGCCCGCAGGGACACCTGAATCAACCGGTTTAGGTGTCGAGATGCATCCAATCGAGTGGCTAGCACCCAGCGCTGAAAAGGCTGCATCAATAATAGCCCCAGGGGAACGACTACTATCATAGAAGCCATCATCCCCAGTAGGCACAGGAATTGGCGAAAACGCACTGTACGCCACATCCGAAATTGGGCCAAGCAGATCCGGAACCCGGACACCCTCTGTGGGGACAGAAAAGCCCGATTCACGCGTGAGTCTAACTCAAGACCGAGGAATGGACTGCTCTGCAATGGGGTCAGACAGCTCTTTCTGTGGTTTATCATAAAACCTAGAGACCATGGGACACTAGTCTGGATTTGTGCAACACCGCTTGTTCCCTTGATTCTGCTGTATCAGCCAATCGTCCGGATAGGCCAACACCCTCAGCCGCCTCCAATACCTTTAAAAAGGCACGCGGTGAGAGGGACAGACCGAACGGGAGGAACACAAACTCGTAGGCTATCGCCTCATAATGGAACCTGTGACTGGGGTACATGGGCACATGAAAGTACGCGTCCTTCAGGTTGATGGTGGTGAACCAATCGCCGGTACGCACGGACCGTAACAGCTGCTGATATCTGAGCATCCTGAATGCGCAAACTTGGAGGTACTTGTTTATTGCCTGCTTCTGGAGCAGGAAGGATATTTCCTCCCTTAACACTGGCGCTGAGGCCAGTGGAACAGCCAACGTGATGACGCCACAAAAACACGGCGGGCGTACAACAAATTGCGGCCTGCATTCTGACGTCACTGTTTTTTTCCACCACTCTCGACAACCCTGTGTTTGAATGTGGAGGAGGGACACGCTTTATTGAACTCACGTGGGATACACAACCCTTTTGATAACCCGTGAAAACAATACGTTTATTAAAGTGCAAACGTTTGCCTGAAACCTGGTCCACTCTGGGTTTGGGGTTTCGGCCATCAGTGACGCACCCCGATTGGATGTACTACTTGGGGGTACTGCTGTCACAACGGGTATTTGGGGAGGCGGGCTAGGTGCGCTGAGGCCGTCTCCTACCCCACGCCGTGGCGGGACCATCCCTCACCTCACCCCTGGGAGCGACGCAGCCCTTTTTCCAGGCAGGCTGGCGCTGCCCGTAAGAATCAGGTCTATTCGAATCAGGTCGATCCCCAGTATGGATCCATTGTCCTTTGCCTTGCTCCAACCTCCAGGCCTGCCACATCATGATTGTGACACTGTGACCCAGATAGATCGAGTGACACTACATTTTTAACAGCAAACTCACCTCCACTCCCTGGAAGGTGTGAAGGTTTAGGGCTCGTCCCAAACGAGATCGTCATAGTAGACAAAGATGTTCGGGACTGAGCCAACAAAAATGGTCCCTTCATACTGAAGATAGCTCTAATAAATGCTGAAGGAAGATTGTTTTTCTGTGGCAGTCTTCTTCGTATAGCCTATTTTTGGAAGGTCTTTAACCAACATGACTTTTAACTTAACGCTCTCATGATGGTGATGAAAACAACAACAGCCAGGTCCACATCTGTGGTCTCTACGAGATCAGGAGTAATTAGATCAGGGCTCTGTAGCATGATCTCCTTCCTGAGTGATCCACACACACACACACAGGTGACGTCAGGGGAGCCAGCCCTGAGCTACTGCCACAACAACAACAACAAGTTCAACAGCAAGTGGCCTGAATAAATAGCCTCAAAACAAGAATGATACGAAAAACAGAAGAGGCATCTGATATGCTGGCAGGACTCACCTACACACACACACACACACACACACACACAAGCGCACTCACGCACGCACACACACACACTACCGCCTAGTTTAACTTCCCTGGTCTTTGAATAATGTACAATAACAACTGGTGGATCTGTGTTCTGCTATTCGCTGAAGTGCATAGAAGATCTGAAGTGGAGAAGCAGATTCTAATCCTCTTATAGAAGCATAATAGGACTGATCTGAATGGCCCTTATTAAAAACAAATGAGTTCATGGATCAACTTTGATCAAAGATCATCTGAGGCCAGAGTGCTTAGAACTCTGCCATTCCAACATAGATCTCTGACAATTCAACTGCCATACCAACTTTCAACACCTACAGTGGGGAGAACAAGTATTTGATACACTGCCGATTTTGCAGGTTTTCCTACTTACAAAGCATGTAGAGGTCTGTAATTTTTATCATAGGTACACTTCAACTGTGAGAGACGGAATCTAAAACAAAAATCACATTGTATGATTTTTAAGTAATTAATTTGCATTTTATTGCATGACATAAGTATTTGATCACCTACCAACCAGTAAGAATTCCGGCTCTCACAGACCTGTTAGTTTTTCTTTAAGAAGCCCTCCTGTTCTCCACTCATTAGCTGTATTAACTGCACCTGTTTGAACTCGTTACCTGTATAAAAGAAACCTGTCCACACACTCAATCAAACAGACTCCAACCTCTCCACAATGGCCAAGACCAGAGAGCTGTGTAAGGACATCAGAGATACAATTGTAGACCTGCACAAGGCTGGGATGGGCTACAGGACAATAGGCAAGCAGCTTGGTGAGAAGGCAACAACTGTTGGCGCAATTATTAGAAAATGGAAGAAGTTCAAGATGACGGTCAATCACCCTCGGTCTGGGGCTCCATGCAAGATCTCACCTCGTGGGGCATCAATGATCATGAGGAAGGTGAGGGATCAGCCCAGAACTACATGGCAGGACCTGGTCAATGACCTGAAGAGAGCTGGGACCACAGTCTCAAAGAAAACCATTAGTAACACACTACGCCATCATGGATTTAAATCCTGCAGCGCACGCAAGGTCCCCCTCCTCAAGCCAGCGCATGTCCAGGCCCGTCTGAAGTTTGCCAATGACCATCTGGATGATCCAGAGGAGGAATGGGAGAAAGTCATGTGGTCTGATGAGACAAAAATAGAGCTTTTTGGTCTAAACTCCACTCGCCGTGTTTGGAGGAAGAAGAAGGATGAGTACAACCCCAAGAACACCATCCCAACCGTGAAGCATGGAGGTGGAAACATCATTCTTTGGGGATGCTTTTCTGCAAAGGGGACAGGATGACTGCACCGTATTGAGGGGAGGATGAATGTGGCCATGTATCGCGAGATCTTGGCCAACAACCTCCTTCCCTCAGTAAGAGCATTGAAGATGGGTCGTGGCTGGGTCTTCCAGCATGACAACGACCCGAAACACACAGCCAGGGCAACTAAGGAGTGGCTCCGTAAGAAGCATCTCAAGGTCCTGGAGTGGCCTAGCCAGTCTCCAGACCTGAACCCAATAGAAAATCTTTGGAGGGAGCTGAAAGTCCGTATTGCCCAGCAACAGCCCCGAAACCTGAAGGATCTGGAGAAGGTCTGTATGGAGGAGTGGGCCAAAATCCCTGCTGCAGTGTGTGCAAACCTGGTCAAGACCTACAGGAAACGTATGATCTCTGTAATTGCAAACAAAGGTTTCTGTACCAAATATTAAGTTCTGCTTTTCTGATGTATCAAATACTTATGTCATGCAATAAAATGCAAATAAATTACTTAAAAATCATACAATGTGATTTTCTGGATTTTTGTTTTAGATTCCGTCTCTCACAGTTGAAGTGTACCTATGATAAAAATTACAGACCTCTACATGCTTTGTAAGTAGGAAAACCTGCAAAATCGGCAGTGTATCAAATACTTGTTCTCCCCACTGTATACATGTACGATATAGGCTTATATGAGTATCCTACACCCAAAGCATTTCAAGATTACACAAAGACAATCAATCAAGCCAAACAAACAAAAAACAAATGATATCATTCCAGAACGATAAGGAAGACACACATGACCATAGATATAAAACAATGTTCTATACCTATGCACATGACAATGCAAAAGGAACCTTGTGTGAATTCCACTGAGGCCTTCAGGGTGGCTTTGTGTGTGTGTGTGTGTGTGTGTGTGTGTGTGTGTGTGTGTGTGTGTGTGTGTGTGTGTGTGTGTGTGTGAGTGTGAGTGTGTGTGTGTGTGTGTGTGTGTGTACGCATCGGAACAGAGGAATGTTACAGTACACTGCCTGAGCCACATACCTCTGAACAAATCTAGCACATTAATGACACATTAATGCAAAAGTCAAACTGACTGACACTCAAACTCGCATGGCATCATAGGCAAAAGTAACCTGATTTTTGGTGCAAACCTACTGATACTATGTATGAAGAACGATACACAAAATTGCAAGTTACCATCATGTCTAAATGTAAGTCTTTAAAAACCTCATCCCTAGGCTAGATCTTTATTAGTGGATCTACTGGGCAATGTAGCCACATACATTGTGTGGTAGACCTAATGTGTTTTATCATATTTGCTTGCGTCCAAAAGGCCTCTATTGCTCTACTTTGAGCTGCTTATCATCCAGTGATAGAGGAAAGACATGGTGAGACATTCCTTTTATTCCCAGGTTGGTAAACCAGCCAAGGCAAATACATTACCTTTATTATCTGAAACACTAAAAGTTTCTCCTTTATTCATTTAGCGGCGGCCACACCAAACAAAAAAACAAAAACATGTATTTATTTGTTTAAGACATTTTTGGGAGGAAATACGCTTTCAGTGTACAGTTAAATGACTAAACCCAGACAGAAAGTATTTAGAAAAGATAATTGACCTATATATTTTTTTAAATATATATTTTTAAATAATATCATCTTGGAGAACTAGAAATCACCTAAATAAAAGCTAGACAATCAGAGTATTTTTTCACACTGCAACATTTTTGCTCAGTGCTATGGATATTTGTTTTTGAATTGCAGGAAATCAGAGGGGGAAGAAAGCACATTTTTCACCCTGCCGCCAATTCCGGACAGAGTTAAGCCGCACCCACAGCCCCCTGTGTCGGGAGTCGGGATGACACAGACAGGCAGGCAGCTTTTCACAGCCAGTCCAAATCATGAATCAGCATCATTATTATGGATATAAACAAAGAAATATCAATAAAAAAAAACAGGTAAAACGAAACGAAGTGCAGCTAGTTTGCAGTCTTTCCAACTTCAGTTTGAAGTTATTGCGTTAGCTGTGTTGTTGGCTAGCTCCTCTGAACAACAGTGTCCTGACGAGAGAGCACATTTTCTATGCCAGGTGAAATTGCGCATCATTAGCTCATTGTTATGGATGTATCCAACTAAACAAATGCAAATGAAGATACTTTTTTTAAATTCTGGCTGCATTGTTTGACATGACTGTAAGTTACCCGTAGTTGGCTAGCTAGCACGCAAGGGATAAGAACGTTGCCAGCCATTATGGCAATAGAACTTTTAGGACAAACGACTGATACAGAACAAAAAGACTTAACGACTGGGTCGCGGCTCTGGCAACCGAACCGATAGAACGAACGACCAGCCGGCTTGGGTAGTAACCCTAGATTTGTGTCGGGGCTATTTCTTGTGGAAGGATGAAATGGTATAAATAAATTCCTCATAATAACGTTTTTAATGAAAATATGTAAATCATTATTTTAATTTGTTGGTAACCCCTTGTATAAAAATGATAATGCCCTCGAAGCCGGTGTTTGGAGGATATCTTGGCACGGTTTGCCAACACCCGTGCAAATATATCCTCCCAACACCGGTTTCTCAGGCATTATCACTTAAATAGAAGCTCTCACATTCTTCTCCTCTAACACAAAACACCAGCGGCCTGCCAGTCTTCTCCCAGTCTTCTACCAGTCTTCTGCCAGTCTTCTGCCAGTCTTCTGCCAGTCTTCTGCCAGTCTTCTACCAGTCTTCTGCCAGTCTTCTGCCAGTCTTCTACCAGTCTTCTACCAGTCTTCTGCCAGTCTTCTGCCACCCAACAAAAGCACTGCCAGATCACCTCAGACATACCACACACACACAACACACAGGCACACACCCCAAAACACAAACACTTCAGCTCATTCAAACTCAGTAAATCGCAGTCTGAAGATTCCACACACAGCACAAACCACAAACCACCCCTTCAGACCAGACACAGGCAGTTACCCAGTGAGAACTTCTATCAATACTGCCGTTTGTTCATTGTACTGACTGTGCACTTTCTGGTGTCGTGAGAGGCAAGGCTCTATGTTGTCTTTGTGCAGGTCCGTTATACCATAAAACTTTTACAGGCCAATTATAATAACACTCTTTAAATGAGTGAAATATAGCACAGCTTACATCCACAAAGCAGAACATTTAAGTCTGGCTCTCATTCAGAGGTGAGAGGAGCAGTGCTGCAGAGGCAGAGCTATGACCTTAGGGTGGAGACTACACTTCACCATCTATTACAGAAGTATAGGTTCAACCTTTATGGTACATTTTTTGGCATACAGACATTTACCAGGGAGAGATAAACTGAAACATGGTAAAACCTAGTAAACTCTAGTAAGAGTAGGTGAGTATTTTCAAAGTAACAGCTTATACTGTACTGTTGTAAAAATGTCACGGCTCACTAGTGAATTTAAGTTATGTAACCAGAGATAATGTTCTAAACAACAAGAGAAAACTAGGATATGAATCATGAATGTTACATGTTCCATGTGTCAAGGTAGATGTAGGTGGGTGTGGGTGGAATCAGGCGCAGGACGCAGTACGTTAGTCCAGCAGACTTTAGTGAGGCACAGTAAAACAAACACGAAATAAATGCCCTGAGGCAAAAAGCTCCGCACGTAGGCGTAAACACAAGCGCACAAACAGGTGCGACAAAATACTCCAAAACTAAGGAGCAAACTAGCTCAACCGAGCAAACAGTAAATATCAAGCCTACCGGCACGACAGTAAAACAATCACACACAACACCTGACCAACACAACGAGAACTAAATAGGACACTAATGACACTAAATGATAACAGGTGTGACAACAATCAGACAAAAGCAAACGAACATAGAAACATGCAACGGTGGCAGCTAGTATTCCGGAGACGACGAACGCCGAAGCCTGCCCGAGCAAGGAAGAGAGGCAGCCTCGGCCGAAACCGTGACACCATGTGACCCACTGACTGCTTACTGCGGCCAAACCGGAGACCAGGCTCTCAATAACAGAAAGGAAAGTGTGTAAGTGCATATAACAAAAGACAGCTTGTACATTGAACATTCATTTACTCATAGATGCAACTTAAAAGCAATTGTAACATAACAAAACCTGATTTTTTAAAGTAAGCATAACATTTGTTTTGCTTGAAGTACCTTGAACTCAATTGATTTCACTTCCTCACAGAGGGTGGTCCTCTATAGCTCAATTGGTAGAGCACGGCGCTTGTAACGCCAGGGTAGTGGGTTCGATCCTCGGGACCACCCATACGTAAAAATGTATGCACACATGACTGTAAGTCGCTTTGGATAAAAGCGTCTGCTAAATGGCATATTATTATTATATTATAACATTTTTAATCTTTCAAACAACAGTTATTTAAGTCATTTTGCACACAAGCTTATTTAGTGCAATTTACATAAAACATATATTTTTATTTTGTTACGTGTGATATTTAGTTGGCATTTGTAACATTGTAATTTTGTGTTCAAATCAGGTAAACATATTGTGTGCTTACAAATTACATTTTAATTGTCAACCTTGAATTATATATATTTGCTCAGCTGACTTCGCAATAAAAGTATTAACACCTTGCTAATTTAAGTAAACTACCAGAATGACCAACTTATCATTTTACTGACGCAGCAATTTGACATTCCTTACACCATTGACATTCAATTTCACAGTCTGATTCTCAGTTTTGCAAGCTGGCCTGCATTGATGATCTGCCAAACAGGGGCACAATTAAGCTTTTGATATTGGAGGATGCCATGACTAGCTCTGGGGTGTCATTGAGTAATCCACACTTATCAATTTCACAGCATCCAGGACAACCGAGTGACGACTTTGAGGTGCCAACCTTTTCACATGATCTTGAATTGTAACTGAGAGAGGGAAATCAAGGATATGACCAATTTGGAAGACAACTGGTGTTGACCAGAAACCAAAGACAACAGATTTTGGATGGCGTGGCAAAAGCTATGTATGAGAGGAATGAGTATCCAAGTGAGTGTGACTTTGAAGATGCTGCAGAAGCCTTAGTCCACCGACATACATGCCTTGCTGACAATGGGTCACCAAAAGGGTGAGAGGGATGGAAGAATGGCCTTAAGTTTAAAGTAGGCAAATACAGAACGAATCTAGGCAGAGAAAGGTGTCCTGAGGTTGGTAAAAAAAAGTGCCAAAAAAAGGAAAGATCCAGAACCACCACTAAAACACACCGTTTACTGTGGCCCAGTCAACCTCTCACAGTTCCCGCAATCAAAAGTTGAAGCAGATCTGGAAAAGCTAAGGACCGATATTGCTCTTGAGATTAAGAAGACACACAAAGTCTTGGCTGGAATCAATCACTGTATGGGAAAGACATTTGCCCTGAGAAGACAGGAGATTCTGAACAGCAGTCCTAAAATACAGACAGTGGAGAATAGATGGCTGGCATTATTTCTAGAGTCACAGGTATTGCTTTGGCCTGGTTGCAGGGTTTACATTATGTTACAATGTAAAAAAAACATTGTATTGGTATTGGTATTGAGTTATTGTCATTCAGTAAGTGCCTGGTAATGTATAATCGCATTAAGTACAGAAAACTTCTGTGTCTTTAAAAAATATATTTAATCTACAGATATGTGCTGAACCTGCAGCGATCGTTCTTTGCTGCACTAGACCATCACACTGAACGCTTGCTGGCTTTATCCCGGGAGGCGCAGGGACAGATGGGGAGCATTGGACATCGGCTTTCTGCCATTCTGAAGATGTATGATGAAATGGTTTGTTACTTTCTAATTTACATATTTGGTCAGTTTTCTTGGTCTGTGCGGGCACTCCCCCTATTTATTATTTGATTTAATTCTTTACCATTTTCCAAACCCCACCTGCAGTGTACATAAAATTGGTTTGGGGTGAAATGGTAGTAAAAGGAGAGTTGTGTCTCGATTAGGGATTGAGCCTATGGATAGCCATACTGGTTTAAAATCACAGTGCATATATACTTTTCCCATTTGTCCTCTGAAAGTTGATTTATTAATGTTCTGTCTGTGTCCTTTTAGCAATCAAGGGACGTGAATGTCAGTCGAACGGCTGCCCTTCATTGTCTCCCAGCAGTACTTAGTGAAAGCGACTCAGAGGTGTTCAAAACCTGCAAGGTTGGTTAATATACTTACAGGGTTATTACAGAGTTTAAGACTGCTCCTTTTAATATTGACTTGCCTTGCCCAGAAATCACAACACATCTTCCACATTGGTTGATCTGTATTTCACACTCTTCTGGTTGTCATACTGTAAGAACATGAGTCAAGAAATCCTCGTGTCCTCATTGGTCCAGTCTGCATACTTGCTATCATCTCTGATGATGAAGATGCAGTCTCCCTTCAGCCACACCAAGTCTCCATTATCCTCGAAGATAGATTGGTGATGCACAGCTTCCAATCCTGGCCAGATGCTTTTCTCGCTCATTTTGGCCTGGTTTATGCTCTACATCTGGATTACCCAAAACCCATGTCCAGCTCATTTCTATTAATTCAGCAAGTGTTCCTTAACGTTGATTCCGAAAAGCTCAAATCAAAAGTTTTGGCCTTGAAAAATAAACTGTAACCTAATTATAACTTGTTTTCATGTCAAATGTTCCTGTGGTAAGACAACAGATTTTATTTGTTTAGTTTTTCTTCAACCTTAGAAAAGAGAACTTGGTGACTGTTGGAACAAAAAAAGTTTTTGAACGGTGACAGGGTGAGGATGGAGGCCAACTCAAAATGTTGTCAGGAGGCCTATATTCCCAAAAAATATGGTGCAATTACATTACACGTTCAATGTGTTCTGGACATGGTCCTTAAACTCCTGGTGTCCAATTCCTGGGGCTCCTGGTGTCCAATTCAATTTAGGTTTTAAAACTGTTTTGCATCTGATCGAGGAAGTGGTCTAGTGTTGTTAAATGTAGCTTGCACCTGGGCCTAAAAGTGATAAACATGGTGTTAATTGGTCATTGGTAATTATTAGATTAGTCGTGTGTAAAGTGTCTGTCTGTCCCAAAGAGAATGTGGAGTATGAAGCCCTGAATTAAGAGTACTGTTTATGTTCAAGTGATATAACCTCTAAAGAGTTAACTGCATGTCATAAAAAAGCTAGTTAATTTCACATTTTGGGCGGGCATTTGGAAGGATGTATTCTTTTAAACTGAAGCCCGCTCATCGGCCAAAGGCAACGTCTTCTCTGTGATCATACCACACTTTCTCCAAGTGCATGTGCAGTAGTCTACCTCACACACAGGCGGCTGACTTCCCACCAAGGTTTGTACGATTAAGTATATATCATTTAAAGCTACATTGCATTAGGGAGCCAATTGTGAGCACGGAAATCGAATGTAGTCTCATTATTTAACTTAGGGAGGACATTTCCGGAGCCTGACGACGTAGGTAACGTTAACATTAGATTAAGTCGGTTAACATTCCAGCAGTTCATGTTAGCCAATTAATTTAAAGAGAAGTTCTGCTGGCTTTCATGACCTAGCCTAGCTAAATACAGAATTACCCGAATGGTAAATAATTTTTCTTAAAAGAAAGTTATGGTAAGCGTAATATATTACATGATTGTTATAATGTTAATTGCGGAACATTGTGAAAACTCTGTGACTAGCATTAGCAAGCATGACTAACGGGTAGCTAGCTATCCAACTGACGGATCAATGCATGTGTAACGTTAACATCGACAATTTGATGTTAAAATCCATCTGCCGTGACATGTGCATATTTATTTGATGTTTTAACTGGTTGGCAGTCCGCCTCAACAATTAGCTAGCCTAGCTAACGTTAGTTTGTAGAACAGACACGCCTCTGGAGGAGTAAGTTTATGTCAAATGCATTACTTGTCCACAGAGCTATGGGGACAATGTAAATGGTTGTTTGGCTAATGTGTAAAATGCATTGCCTTTGAGAGTTAACGTTAAGCCTGCTTACTTGCTAATGTTGCCCTTGCCTGTTCTTGCAGACCTTGGGACAACTGTGCAGCATTTCACCTTTGCCATAGACCTTGTAGTGAAAGGTAAGTTGTCAAGAGAATTTTGGCCCAATAACAGAAGGCTTAATATAAGTTTATATGATGAGGTAGTTAACAAAAAATCCAATAGCCATAGAACAGTATACATCCCCATTCTTTAAGCTCTACAATAAATCAAGTCAAAACATGCTAACCTCATAGTTAAAGGCGTACTAGAGTAGTTTCAATTCTTAGCTGCTTTTCAGTCACCCCTGCTGATTAATTAGAACTATTTTAAAATCCATCAATCTTAGGTTTGTGAAATGTCTGAATTACACTGTGAGAGTGGATGGTTTGGATGAATCGGGAAAAATACTCCAGAAAAGAATGTTAACATTTGTTGGTAGGCCCTGAGTGCAATAATATATCCTAACAGGCGTCTGAGTTATGTGCATATAACTTAAATTGTAAATTGCTTTTTTCAATTTCTATAATAAAGTGCATGAATTGTTTCCACTTCCATCTTTGCAGACATCCATCAACCAAACATGCTGTGGAAATGTAAACTCTGCCGTTTTTCCTACCATTCCCAAGGAAATCTTCTCAAACACTACCGTTTAATACAGTCAACACCAGAATTAATCCTTTGCCATGTTTGTATGAAACCTGCATCTGCACCTTTGGCTCTTTGAATTTGCTAAAAATTCATTTGTCAAGACTCCATGCACCGATACATGCATGTTCAGCTGTCGAGACACATTTGGCGTTCCACTGCCCAATTTGTGCTTTTACACAACCATTTGATGAGAGAGAGCTTTTTTCACATTTAAGAGCACATTTGAAGAATCATGAAATGGTTCAGTGTCCGGTTAAATACTGCACATTCAAAACAAATGATTTCAACATTCACCTCACATATGTCAAGAAACCATTCCTCTTTAAGCTCTACTGATTTCAAAGTTGGCATTGTGAGGCAAGCAAGTGAGTCCCAAGATAATTTTTTTCAAAGCCAAATTACAGATGTTGCAGGTAGCTCCAAGGATGATGAATCAAATGCGCGGGATGGCACACCTTCTCTTAAACAGCAGCTGCAGCAAAACCTGGCCTCCTTGCTGTTAAAATTACAATCACTTCTTCATGTGTCACAAAGTGCAACTCAAGAAATGCTAGTGAACTTGGATCAACTGCTCTTACTCTCTAAACCACTAATGAAACAAACAGTCTCGCAAATTCTAGAGAAACATAATTGTAATGTGAGCACTGATGTCATCAATGAAATTGTGAATGGCATAGTAGACAATGACGTTCTTCACAGTTGTACTTCAAAAGATGGACCTTTGTCAACAGCAAAAAGAAGGAATACTTATTGTGATAGGAAATTCCCTGTGGTGAAGCCAATTGAGTACACCATAGATGGTGCAAAACATTCCACAATGTATGTCCCCATCCTCACAATGTTGCAAGAGCTACTTTTAAAAAATGATGTTTTAGAGCAAGCAATGGAAGACATCTGCACAACCAGGTGGCCAATATGCATCATATCGTGATGGATCATTTTGTAAAGACAATGAAATGCTTCTAGTGAGGAGTTTAAGGTTGCTGTTCAACTCTATATTGATGATTTTAAAGTAGCCAACCCACTTGGTACATCAGGAAAAAAGCACAAAATATGCTGTGTTTACTGGACTTTAGCCAATATTCCAAGCAAGCATCGCTCAACGTTGCATACAATACAGCTAGCATTGCTATGCAATTCCAGTGACTTGAAGACTTGTGGATATGCAAAGGTTTTGAGCCACTGTTGAATGACTTAAAAATTCTGGAAACAAAAGGTGTCTATGTTGACACTTTTGGAGTATGTGTTTAAGGTACTGTGATGTGTGTAGTGGCTGATAATTTAGCTGCACATGGACTGCAGGGTTCAAAGAGCGCTTTAGTGGAAAATACATTTGCAGATTTTGTCGGGCAATGAAGGAGGACATTCAAACATACGAGGCAAGGACTTTTGAGATGAGAACAAAGGAAAGCCTTGATAATTTATGTAACGACATAGAATCAGGTATAAGTGCAGAGAACTATGGTGTGAAGAGTGCTTGTGTTTTTTCACAGCAACTACAGTACTTTCATACAACAAGTGGATTTCCTCCAGATATTCTTCATGATTTCCTAGAAGGTGTTGTACCGGTAGAGTTGTCTCTGTGTCTACAAGAATTGATTAGAAATAAGTGTTTCTCATTGGAACACTTGAACATTGCTATGGTCAAGTTTCCTCATGAGAACAGTGACAAAGTTGATCGACCTCAGCCTATACCTAAGAGCGTTGTAAAAAGAACAACGATTGGCGGCAATGGCCACAAATCTCACATTGCTTAGGCTTCTTCCTGCAATAATTGGCTCCGAGGTAACAGAGGATGAGACAGCTTGGGATATTTTTGATGGATTTGAAAGACATTGTGGAACTAGTGTTGTGTCATGTGTTCACAGAGGAAGTGATTCAGTACTTGACTTTAAAGATATCCGATCATAGACAACTACTGCAGGAGGTATTTCCAAATGTTCAACTGCGTCCAAAGCATCACTTCATTGAACATTATCCACAATTGATACAGCGTTTTGGTCCACTTCTACATTTCTGGAACATCAGATTTGAAGGAAAGCATAAAGTATTTAAAAATATTGTACATGACGCACAGAACTTCAAGAACCTACACCAAACCCTTGCTCAAAGACATCAGAGAACGATGGCACATCATTTGGAATTGCCAAACTTTTTTAAGCCTGCCGTTGAGACATTCACCGTAAAGAACATATTTTTGAACACTCTTCCGACTGTAGCACAGGATTATATACAGGAAATAACTGACAGCGCCTCGGTGTACAGCACTTCACATGTTGTTGTAGACAACACACATTTTGTCAGTGGCATGTTTGTGTGCACTGGACTACATGGTGGTTTGCCCCAATTCAAACAAATTGGAAACATCATACTCGTCAACAATCAAACTCTGTTTGTATGCAAAAGCAGCCAGTCTTGGTATATAGAGCACCTGCACTCCTATGAGGTGACAACAGAAGAGTCATATGTTGTAACAACACCATCAGATCTCCATGACTTCATGCCTCTAACTGCATACAGACTGAATGGACAACTAGTCCTTACTACTAAGCACTTCATACTTTTGAGCAGGTAGAAAAGTAATCATTGTTCCTCTGTCCTACAGCGATATGGCTGACAAGTATGAACTCTTCAGACTGAGAGTCCACTTAGGAGACGGAGGCATTGAACGGGTGACACTCCCCTGTCGTCCAGATTCTGTCCCTCAACTGACTGCTTTACTGCGTGAAAAATTAGAAGTTCCATACAGTGTCCTTGTCCAGCTTGAAGACCCTGATTTTGGTGGCCAGCTATGCAATCTGAGCAGTACTCATGAACTACAAAACATGGGAACTGTAAAATTGATCAGAGTAATGGAATTGGACTGTAGCAGTTTTCAATTGCCTTTGTACTTTATTTTAGGTATGTGCAGAGTACCATCGCATCACAAGCCAGCAACTCCAGGATTAGTTTTATTCCATGTTGGACCAACACACAAAACGCTTGCTAGCCCTATCCAGAGAGAAGCAGGGAAAGACTGGAAAAAATGGACAGAAGATAGCTACCATTCTGAATTTGTACAGCCAGGTATATAAATTAAATCAGTAAGCAAAATGTAAAGCAAGTTAAATGATTGGGGTGAATAGTTATGCATGCTCAAGTTCTGTTTTTTTCGTTTGTTTCACACAAAAAATATTTTGCATCTTCAAAGTGGTAGGCATGTTGTGTAAATCAAATGATACAAACCCCCAAAAAATCCATTTTAATTCCAGGTTGTAAGGCAACAAAATAGGAAAAATGGCAAGGGGGGTGAATACATTCGCAAGCCACTGTATAGTTCCTGTTTGTAATGTTTCTCTGATGTGAACACTGATCGAACTGTTGTCCTCAGATGTCTTCCAGCAATACTCCAAGAGGATGACTCTGGAGTGTTCATAACATGCACGGTGGGCTGTGTGAGGTTGTTCAAATATTCTTTGACCCAAAATAAAGGAGGGGAGAAACTACTTGTGTGTTTTCATAAGTGTTTATTGTGACATGATAATTATATTTTCATGTTCTTTCTCAGGAGGGAACATCCCAAGACCCTGCAGCCATCAAGAGACCAGCAGCCATCATCTCAGTCATTGATGACGATGTGCTATTCCATCCAGGAAGAGTCTACGTGGTCCTTGAGGAGAAGGTGGTTATGAAGAATTTCCGGTGCTGGCCTGATGCGCTTCTATGTTTGTACAGGCTAATGTACTCACTCCAACATGGATACCCGAATCGCATGAAGAACACATTTGGGTTTATACAAAAAGTGTTGTTAAACTTGGATAGGGACAGAATGAAGCCAAAGATTTGATTTGAAAAACAAACTGTAAAATACCAATACCAAAAACATTTATGGCGCTAAACAATTGTAAATAGTTACGTTATCCTATAAGGAAAAGAAGACGACTAAATATTTTGTAGGCAAATGCCAACTAAAATGTCTGCCTGCATTTGATTTGATCTGTGCCTTTAGTCAAACCGGTCACAAAAATGAGAAAGTCATGCAATACTATTGGCCTTTAATATATTGAGTCTTAACATGTACAGAGATACAAGACTAACTTGACTTCAGTTGGTGTAGAGTTTAATTGAAAGTGTTACTGTTTGGGAAAACTGAACATTGGCATTGTTAAGTTACCTTACAAATCAGTGATGAAGTTGTTGGCCTCAGCCTAAATCCTTGTATATAGGAAGCTTTAGAGGCATTGGCCACAAATATCACATTGCTGAGGTCCCAGAGGATGAAAATGGATAGGGAATCTTCATGGAGTTGTAAGGAGAGGTCTTTTGCATACATGTGTAGTGTTGTGGACCGGTACATATAAGAAAGTTGGGGAAACAACATTCGCACACACTGTCTACTTGCATTTAGAACGTGTATTTGTCCGTTTAATGATTCGGCCCTACACCTTAGTTTACCTACACCTTAGGACCGAAACATTGCGTGCATAAGTACATTTTATAATCTGCAAGTATAACTTTGTTTTGTAAACATAATGGAGTGAAAAATTGTTGTGGAGGAAGACATTTTAATTGTCAACAATAATCTTCATCTTAAACAGTTAAATGTAGTGAAGTTGTCGGCACATCACTACCTCATTATTTTGATTTTATATCCTTCAGCACAGCTTTTAATTGAATGGAAGCTATCACATCAGTTGAAAGTGTTAATTGGAGAAGGGTCATTATACTGCGCTTATGTTTTAATAGTTAAGTTGTTGATGGGGAATGTTGCAATGTTACACAGTACTGAATTGATTGAAAGTTGGGGTTTTGTTATCTGAGCCTTTTAAAAGTTACAGCATATGTTCAAATGAGTCATGATGTACAGAATTGCCATTTATCTATTGATGGAGCTTAAAATAGATGAATCATGTTTTGTGCATTCATGTAATTAGAGATTTGTGGTTCTGAAGATGAAGTGTTTTAAAGAAAATTTTATTTTATTTTTTAAGAAAAAACTGTTGTAAAGCTAACTTGCTTTAGAGTAGTTGACAGAAAGAAAGAACTAGGATTTTAAGAGTAGTTTTTGACTTTGACTGGTTTCCACAAATTATTTGAGTTCCGTAACAAAAAAGATCAAGTTACACAGGACTAAAATGTGATAAAAATTTTTTACAGTTCTATGTTTAATTTACTCAAAAGTTGTATGCAAACTTGAACATGTTGATTCAGTATTTGTTGAATGCACTCCAAAGAATAGAGTAACTAAAGTCATTAATTACAGTGATACAACATGAATGATTTAAGTTATTAATCAAGTGATATTAACATATACAATATAGTAAAATTACTTGGGTTTGTAAGTAAGTTGCGCAAAGGTTACACAGTTTGGATACTTCAATTTAATTCACAGTGACACGATAGAACCAAGTTAAGTGGCAAGTTGCCATGGCTTTAATGTTTTGAGTACAAACAGAACTTTACAACTAAAGTTATTGTGGGGAGTAAAAGCAAGTTAATGGACAGACATCTTTTAAGTATTCTGCACTCAAACAATATACTTCAAAATGTTGCCCGGACACCAAATATTTTTGTAGATTTAGCTCAAACTATTATGTTTATGACACACACACTTACCCCACCAGACATGCCACCAGGGGTCTTTTCACAGTCCACAAATACAGAACAAATTCAAGAAAGCGTACAGTACTATATAGAGCCATTATTGCGTGGAACTCTGTTCCATCTCATATTGCTCAAATAAACAGCAAACCTGGTTTCAAAAAACAGATAAAGCAACACCTCACGGCACAACGTCTCTCCCCTATTTGACCTAGATAGTTTGTGTGTATGTATTGATATGTAGGCTACGTGTGCCTTTAAAAAAAATGTATGTAGTTCTGTCCTTGATCTGTTCTTGTCTATTAATGTTCTGTATTATGTCATGTTTCATGTTTTGTGTAGACCCCAGGAAGAGTAGCTGCTGCTTTTGCAACAGCTAATGGGGATCCTAATAAAATACCAAATGTAACTCTGAAATTACCATTAGTGGACAAAAATTATTTAAGTGTGTGTTACACTACTAATCTACTTCATTTAGCAAACTATGTTGAGTACAATGTACTTAAAATATTTCTCTACTTACTAAAACCTTTAGTGTTTAATCAACTTTAAATTGTGGCCCATTTGGGATCATGTGACACTTATAGTTTGAGTAAAGCCAGCTCTAACGTTGTAAGTGTACTCTAGTATACTAGTGCGGGTTTCCACAAAACTTTTGAGTAATGATAACTAATAAGGGATTCTACCACACAGGAGAAGAGAGGGAGAGAAAAAAGGCAGTAGGAGAGTGAGGGGAAGAGAGAGAGGGGGAGAGAGAGGGGGAGAGAGAGAGAGTAAGAGCGCAAGTAATTACACACTTAATGAAAATAAATGAGAAGCTTTAAATCGACCTTCTGAAAACCCACTCCTAATTCACCTCAAATAGAAAACACATGTACTGACCTTTAGAATAAACATAGATCCACTCAGGTCTGGGCCAACCTGCTCAGAACCAATAAACAATACATTCATCTTTTATAGTTCTCATTCTATCTTTTACTGGGCCCTATTTCCTTACCACTTGAGCACACTATTTATCAAACACACACATGCTGTCCCTCTCTCTCTCTCTCACACACACACACACACGTATGAATAAAAGTATGGGCTTTTAGTTGTCTCAGTAGGCCTTGTCCATCTGGAGAACAGGCCGGGTGTAAAGGTTTCTATCCCAGGGGAGTGTAACACACTAGGGTTAGATTTCACCTGCAGCCCAACCTCAACACAAGGCCAGCCAGTCAACCACCAACCGGAGAGAGAGACAGGGAACGGAGAGAGAGGAAACAGAGAGAGGGAAGATGAAACGGCATAGAGAGAGGTAGCTGAGGAGTCACACACACGTAGGACACACATACACACAGGATGAACAACAGTATATCAGTACTTACATATAGAGGCACTTCTCCTCTGTTCAGCTCCATGTTCTGAGCTTCTGATGAAACAATAAGAAGAAAAGGGACACGATCACATATATTATTATATTATTACAACCATAGTACAACTGCAATAACGAATATGTAACAACAACCCTGCATACATCTGATTAACAACACACTGTAATCATCAAAACAATGATCAGCATGCCATGTACATATCGCAGATTTTGTCCAAACTCTTCTCTACAGTAATTCCAGTACTGAAGCAGTTTATGAATTGGGCCGTCAGAGCAACAGCCTCACAAGGCTCTACTCTACGTGCGAGACACAACCTAATCTTCTCTTCATCCTGGTATGTTTGAACATGAGGTCTTCTATGAAACACTGTTATCCTTTTAATATTATCCCATTTCTCCTTCCATTCATATTTCTATTTTTTACTCCATGGGAAAGAGCGATCCAATCGGTCTGTCGGTGTCTAGAATACATGTATTTTACCTTAAGTTTCCCAGAATTAGAGAATTATCTAAAATTGGAAGGCTTTAGTTTGCAGTCGGTCTTTGCAGGGTACATGATTTGCTGGGTTTCTCTGTCTATTTGGTGGCAGGTTGCAGGAATGGAGGACACTGTGCTGAAAGTGTAACTTTAACCACTTGCATACAACTGATCCGGTGTGAATTCACTCTCAGCTGTTTATGTGTGTGAATACTGCATGACTTCAAAGTGAAAGAGAGATGCTGTCAGCCCTATAGAGGTATAGCTCAGTCTTGACAAGGGAATGATGAGAAACAACTAACGTAGAGGAAAGCAACCAAGAAACCTTCCTTGTCTTATGAGTTAAAATGTCCACTGTCGTTACATGATAAAAGTCCCTCAAATTACATCAAAACCCCATGAGATTCACACAGAGATTTTGACAGGTGATTCTCTGAGTGGTGTGCTAGAGGGATGTCACAGGAAATGAATATCACTGTCCTTTTCACTGACTGTTGCTACTGTAGTCAGAGGGTATCCTTGTCAATAGATAAGGTGCCTGATGCCATGGGCTGAGGTGTGATTTTCATGATCCTATAACAGGTATTACTATTATCTGGTATTGTCACTCATGATATTATCATTATATAATGGTATTATCACTCTCATGGCTGTGGAGTCAGAAAAAAACATTGGAACTATGGATAGAAAACGGAACTTCCATAATATGGGTGTAGGGTAACAGTTTATGTGTGTAGGGTTGCTGTTTATGTGTGTCACTGTCTGATGTAGAATAACCTGTATGTTCTCTTTCGGTATCTCACTATGGGATATCGTTGGACAAGCCTATCACTACGGAAGGTCCAATCACACAACATCTGTCGAAGACAGACAGGTCAAGTGGTGAATGAGGAGAGGCCCTACTCATTATAAGTCGCCATGCCCCGCCCTCTGGTCATTCTCGCTCTCTTCCTTGAGAAGATCACTACGCTCTCTAAGCTTTCCTCAGCACGACTTGATCCCTGTCGCTACCAAACGTGGGACCTCAACTTCTAGTCAGCAGTGTTGAGTACTGACTGAAAGGAAAGTTTTGCTTTGAGTAGAATTCGCTTCGTAGATACCCATAGACTTCCAGTCATTGCGCTAACGTAGTTAGCATTGGCTCGTGAAACTTCCTCTAACTTCCTTCATACTGGACACAGAGACACAAAAATGGTATCCACTAATTAATCAGACTCTGGGGAAGTAGATGAAAGGCCTCATTGCCAAAATCCCAAAGTATCCCTTTAACTCGAGGATAAAACCACTGTGTGTCCCTCAGAGTTATGGAACCTGCGACCACTTCTCAAGGAGAACCGAGCACAGCACCTGCCACAGCACCAGCACACCCCTGCCCCAGCACCGGCTAGCCATGTGG